GTCAGAACAGCAAAGAGCTTGTCACTGCTAAACTCCTTAATACTAGAAGTTGGTATTTTAGGTTAGAAGACCCACTGATCTAACTGGCATTTGTAAAATACAAATAAGCCATGAATAATGCTTTTTTCCACTCCCTTTTTTTGGTTGTTGGGTTTTTGTTTTTTGTTTTAGGGGTTTTTTTAAGGTTGATTTTTGGCTTTTTTTTCTTTCTTGGGGTTTTTTTAGTTTTTGGGTTTTGGTTTTTTTTTTGGGGGGGTGGCGTTTTGGTTTTTTTTAATTAAAATCCACTGGTTTACAGCTATTATTAAATAACAATTCAACTTTTCCATTCTGGGAAAAGCACAACAGAATGACCAGGCAATGACAAACAGTCAATTACTGGTATGCTTTAAAGCTGAAGAGGGAGGAATTTCCCACACTTCTAACCAGAACAAACCTTCTTTTGTGTTAAAAGGACAAGAAGAAAAGTGAGCTAAGGGTGAAGACAGATTGTTGAAACAAAGTTAAGTGACCATGTTGCACATGCAGACTACAAAGCAATATTAGATGCAGGTTAATGACACATTCAAGATAGAGAAGTTCACGGCAGAGACATTAAACACTTTTTAAAACATTTTTCTTACAGCACATAGTGAAAGTATCAATGATAATTCTGAGGAAACTTCCAAGTCCATGATATTCCACATCCTTGTAACTGGATGCCCAGAACCTCTGCTTGAGTGACCAGCCATTCTCTTTAACTTTTCACTGGATAGCCCAAAGGCTTAAAAATGACTGAATCCAGGAAGCAATCAAGGTATTATAAATATCCCTCTCCAACTTCTTCCATGGTTTAGTTCTATAAAAGTTAAATTTTATAAACAACTTAATGCACATTAGTCAGTCGTCATTCTAACTTGTTTTCAAAATTTGGATCAAGCAGGACATAAAGACATAAACAAAAGTAAGAATATTTACTGAAGAATGAAATCTCAATTTAAGAATGGAAACCTGAACCAAAAAACAAAATTAAGAAAAAATAAAATCTAAGTTACAAACACAGAATTATAAATATTTGTGTCATTCTATTCTGTCAGAATCTGGTATAAAAACCAAAAACACAAAAAACTCCATATTACTCCCAAAAGATCTCATGCTAAAGATATTTCTGTAAGCACATACAGAATCACAGAGATGCCCCTGTTCTTGCACTAAGTCAAGAATAAGACTCTTGGGCAGTTACCTTACAGCAGCATATTTTCTTTGAAAAGATTAGGACACCAAAGGGGACCACAGAAACCGGGAGAATGTGTCTTAACAGCCTTTGTAATTAATAATCAAACTATTTTTCGTCTTCGCTTGCACCCATAATCAAGAACTGCTTTTCAAAGTAAAAACTCACATACTATTAAGCTCACATAAGCATCCTAACAAGTGTCTGGAAATGGTGACAAAACCAGAACCATTCAACTAAGTAGCCCCACTATGAGTCACTAGCAGTGACTCACAGGGAGTAAATACTTTATTTCAAGAGAAGTTTTCACATCACAATTTCAATTAAAATGATCAAAGGTGTCAAAATCTTTCTCACTTCAATGGTGTTACCACGAGCAATGGGGCAGAGGGTTTGCCTACATGGATTTAACGAGACAAAGCCTTCCTTCTCCTGCAAACATCTTTTATGAGAATGAGCACAAGCGAGCCTTTAATATTTGAAGGTGCTACAGTAGAACATGAGAAAAGTGGAGAAGAGAATGAAACTTATCCTAAATATCTGAACTGCACAAAAATAATTCTTTTTAACTCCTATCACATTATCAAAGATTTTTTGAATGTGCCATCTTGGTGCGACTGCCTGCAAACGTATTTTTCTATTAGAGATGAACCAGGGGAAAAGAAGTTAGTTTGCCTCGATTATACTGCTTACTACCTACTCTCTGTTTGCTGATACACTAAGGTAGGGTTTTTCCATTTTCTGCTGGACTACTCTGAACTAAATGTGCAGGAACAATATAGTGGTGGCTTTCTGTAGCTGCAGTTCCAAAACTGTGCTAACCGCTGTACCCATTTAAGCAGAATTTCTCAGGGTATTGTTGCTTGTTAAAAGGGGCTGAAGTATAAAAAAAAAGTAGTCTTGGTTCCAAAAATACTAATACAACAGACTTTGGTACTCCTTATACATGCCATTTTTTGGTAATACTACTAAAGACATTGTGTCTCTGTACTGAGTTAAAGCAAGTACATAAGTATAACACTCCTCTGAAGACTAATATACTTCAAAGAACAATCGGAGTGAAAAGACAAAGAGGGAAGAGAAGTACTGAAAACAGCAGCCTTCAAAGAAGCAGAGTATGAAGGCTCTCTTCCCATTACCAAAGGAATTCAGTAAAAAGAACCTCACAAATACCTATGAAAAAGACAGACTCTGCAAGACAATGTCAGAATAGCTTCAATACCTTTGAATTTTCACCGTGGATATTTTTTTATAAATGCTACAATACTAACTCCACAAATACCTGGGGTTGGTTGACTGCTAGGGTTTTAGGTGGTTTGTTTTTTGGAGTTTTTTTCACTTCTCTTACCTGGGGGAGGGGGGAAGTGGGGAGGAACACACTTCTTGCACACTCTTTTTAAAATTACACAAATACCTGAAGAGAACTTAATCATCAAACCTCCTTTGATTCCAACAAATAAAAAGAAAAGACCCTATCATATCTTATACAAACAAACAAAATAATGAATTTTAATTCTTCTATTTAGGTATGCCCAAGTAGTACAGAAAACTATTAAGTTATCAGCTACTAAACCATCCTTTAAAATATAAAATAAACTCATGCTAGGAGAAGCATTTCTCAAAATTAAATTAACTTAAAAGGTATTTACCATTAACGTGAAATTAAATCTTGAAATTTGTAGTGAAAACTAAACAGTTATGGAAACAGACAACATTAAACCATTGTGCATGCCACAATTTCAATATACACCACTAGTGTCGTAATGGCTAAAGAACAAAAAAGAAAAAAGCATATGAATTCCTATCATTAAACATCAAACTGCAGTAACTCCTTTTTTAGCAGAGAAACCATTTGCTGTTAGGGCAAGTCTGACTCAGAGAAAAATCCCAGAAAGTAATAAGCCTTCAAACACAGCACATGTACTAATAAAATCCCCACAAACAGAAGGAGCTATGCATTTAATACTTAGATAATTACCCTAATATAGCATATAGCTTACTATATGGTTTTCTTTACTACAAAGACTTAACTCTATAAAGCAAATTCCTTAAGAGGGAATCCAGTTTTCTAGTTTCTGCATCAATGAAATAATTTCAGTCTGCATAGTGGTGTTCATTTTTTAGTTCATATTAAATTTTAAATACAAACAGGCACAGTAACTTATAGGAAACTTACATACTAGTTATTAGGAAAAATATTTTTTACATTTATAACTTTATTAGTGTCACAAAACTTCAAAGTTTATCATTTCTTTTGTACTGTAGAAATTATCATCCAATTTAAGTGAGATTAAATAATATTTCTAAGCGATTATTCAAAAGTAATAAAAATAAATTTTATCTGTGACCTTTTAACGTCACGTTTGAAGTATAAGGTTTAAACACGTGATAAGACAAGCTTATAATAGAAACACTTCCACGTACTGGCAGAATTCCCAGCTATATCAAGCTGCATAAAACAGAGATGTAACAAAGCAGCAGAATGTTCCTGGCTACCGCCCTGGCAATCTGAATCCAACCAATAGGACCCACAAGAAATGGATACCTCCCTTCTATACACTACATAACAGATAGAGAAAGACCAGGATGATAACTATATGAAATGTTACCTTATTCACCCCTAATAATTCACACTTAATCTGTGGCTCTGAAGCCATTCAGGGCACTGGAGATTCTTTAGAGTGCCTCTCGCATTCACACCACTGCAAAGTGGTTTCGAAATTTTGATTACATGGGTTTTATTTAAACCATGACGGAATTAAACAAATGAACACACACCCTCCAAAGACTTGCTTATTCCTCCAGATATAAGTAGGAAAAAATAACCTGATGATAAACTGATTTTTATGGAGTACGAATTTCAAATAGCAAACCATAACATCCTAATATACCACTAATAACTTCTATTGGTTTGATACATTCCGCTTTGTTCTCTACTCAAGCTATTATTTACTCTGATGGGTTTTTTGTTGTTTTATTTATTTGTTTAATTTGTCAGGTTTGTGTGCTCAGAATAGGTGTACATTGGAACAAACCAGTGAAAGAAAACTACACTTTCTAACTTCAGGTATCCAAGAACTATCTATCCAATGCTTCATTGTGAAGCAGAAGATGGCAGTGTTTTAAAAGATGTAGGTAGAAGAGCAGCATCATGAAGTACATCTAGTGACTGAAATTTCCCTTTGAAGATACACAGTGAGCAGAAAGACATTCTCACAAATTAAAAGGAACAGAAGCTTAAACTCAGTGTCGCAATGTCAAAGCAGAAAAATTCATGTCATGTACTATTTCCAAAGGGCAAAGAAAACGAACAGACTTCTGGAGAATTCAGAATAGAGGAAAGACAGTACAAAAATACACTACACAAATAGTCATCTAAGAAGTACAAAGGCATGTTCAAAGTCATTGTAAAGTGGGCCTGGCTTAAAATGTTAACATAAACAATGTTTTAACTCTTGAAGCATCCTAGGTCCTATATCTGATAAATTTATTAATAATCACCACCATCTTTCAACAGTCAATACAGCAGCAAACACCTAATTTCAAAATCATCCTGTAAGTAATTAAATGCTTTCCACTTACATTTATATATTAGGAGAAAAAGAACAAAAATTGCTATAAGTTGCACAACCAATCCTGCATCTTGCATTAAGAAAAAACCTATCACAATTAAATCAATTTAAGTTCTCCAATTAGAAAAACAAAAACCAAAAATACTGTTTTGATATCAAAAAACTTGAACATGCCAATGAATTATATAGATTATTCCATCTGTATTAGTACTTGCCTAGCAATACTTTAGCATCTTCCACATCAAAATCTCCATCTCCATCAGCATCATAAATCCCAAGCTTGCCTAGGAGCGCAAAGAGAGGAGGAAAAGACAATTCAGTCATTTGTTTCCAACACACTGTTTTCAATGTGCAGTGACTAACTGTCAATTGTTACCATATGTTTTTTAACAATTTATGTGAACTCATAACCACATTTTAAATTTCCTGGAAAATACTACAAATATTTCAAGTTCTGTATCTCCTAGATTTGAGACTGAACACAAGTTTGGTTTTTTTTCTGCACGTTCTGTAATTACGTACTTGACATGAACATGCTTTGCTTAGAATAAAATTTAGGCTCACAAGGAATGTTCAACATGTTTGAGGGAAAATAAATAATAAAACAAAAATCAATCAAATAATCAGCATTTGTTTTCTGATTACATGTTTCCTGAAATTCTAAATTCTCAGAAAAGAGATACATATATATAAGTACAAAATTTTTAGTGCCAAGTTAATAGAAAGTAAGCAGTCCACCTTCCAGACAAAGGAAAACATTCACAAACTTTATCAACAATTGTCTAACCTTCCATGCAGACAAAAAAAGTTGTTTGTTTTTCAGACATGACTAATAAATCAGATTTCTCACTTTTATTTTTGAAACTGCAGCTCTACCAGCCCTAGGTATGTGCAATAGGAGAACTCAGTTTCTACTAAAAGAGAATTTTCAGCACAGAATTGTGGTATCCAGGATCTGAAGCGTCTTGGGATCATCAAGTGAGTAGAGATGTATCTAATTATAGGTTTGATAAAATTCAGACATAACTTTTAACAGGATTAAAACTCTGCGTCCTAGTAGGTTGACAATATATTACAGTTGTCATTCTCTAAATGGAGACAGAATTTTATTGCTAACAAAATAAATGAAATATGGTTAGTATGGTACTTAGAAAACAGTTTTGTGGAATCAAAAATTCAGACTTGGGTCTAGAATAGTCAAAAATACATCCATCGGCATTGTATGGAAGCAATCCACTAGAAAGTATCTTTATCAGTTTATGGTTAAACACAGTAGACTGGTACAAAAATGTAATTCTCTAGAAATAAGAATAATATCATCTTCAAAATCATGAAGAATGAGACAGATGAGAAATGACTGAGTTTCATGTCACAACAGAAGAATAGTAATTCTCAAAAAAATTAAAACCATAACAAAATAAATCAAAACTTTCAGCCAAGGGACTGTAAAGCAAGCTTATTTCTCCAATATCCTACCTTGTAGGACCTCTGACAAGTTATAACGGAAATCCTTTGCTTTGGCTGCATGCGTAGTAAAAATATGAAAACCATTATTTGCATCACTAGACCCAATTAAGTTGCAAACCAGAAGTTTCTTTTAAAAAATTGGTCCAGATCAAAAAAACCATGTTCCTTCAGATTTCTTAATTTTGTAAAACTACCAGTTGCAAAAGTGCATGTTAAATCCTACAACATCAAGTACAACAGCCGTACCTGTGCACATACATCTTGAAATTGGAGACACTAATTTGCACCCTGAAATATTATATTAACAGTACTGCCTTAAAATTGTCATACTGAGATACCATTATCACCATTATAAGCTTAAAACTTAGGTTATTGAACAGCTCACTCATGAGAGGATAACTGATTCGTTATTCTGACCCTACAGGCATCACAGTCCATCAGAGGAGGAATATCATTAGCTGCCCACTTTCAACCACTGCCGCAAGTTTCTGAGAGCTTATATTCAAACAATGCATTTTTAGGTCACCTCTCAAGTGAACTACAGTATACATGTTACAAAGAGATCCTGAAGGACGATGCCTTTTCAGTTTTATGAGAATCCCGTTTTAACATCATAACAGCGTTCGGCATTAAAACATAGTTTTTGAAATACCTTGCTTATTCTTATCATGTAGATCATTTGCAAACACTGCAGTAGTCAAATCATCTATCTAATCATTTAAAGTGGCCTTCATTAAATGAATATCATAATCTTATTAGAAGAATCTGAAGACTTAAAATTCTTACCTAGAACTTCTTCATAATCTACAAGTTCAAACCAGACAACTGCTACTGATGTCCAAACTCCCAGCAAAGCAATTACCATAAACCAGGTGAAAAATGAGCTTCCAGAGAGGCCTTCTTTCTTTCCATTCTTGCTTCCTCCATGCTTAGTCTCTGTTAAAATAAGACAAACAAGTAGGAAAAATGGATTTGTGTAAGAGTTAAAAAATTATTATGGAGGATATAATTATAAAACTTGTTTCTTATGACTATACAGAATACAAGACATTTGAGCAACAGTTTTTTAGTGATTTTTGTTGTTGTGGTGGGGTTTGTTTGAGTTTTGTTCAGTTTTTATTTTTAAACTTTACCACTGTTACTTGCTTTTCATATCACTGGGAATTACCGTGGGAAGCTTGATGATTATCTAACCAAAAGCCTCATAAGCAACCGAACACCAAATGCCCCCATCTAATTTGTCTTACAACTTAGCCAGAAATCCCGCCTAGCTCTCCCTCCCCCCCCCCCTTCCTTGTGTATTTACACAGAGCTTAACATTTTTGAGATGCTTTGCATTTGTGCCCGCAGTTCCCAGGCTGCCACCAGAGGACACTATGGCCAGCAGAAAAGCTTCGCAAGAGAACTGTTTCTCCTGAATCAAGTTTCAATAGTACTTGAAATAGCTCAAAGAACCAACGTGACAATTCAAACAGCCTAAGAAAGCTCTAAAATCTGAACCATATTAAGGGTAAGACTCCAAGTTCAGACAGACACTTAACCAACTAAAAACATCTTCCCTATAGCTTAGAATCAGAGATTCACTCCATGCTAAATAACTTTAGACTTCCAGTCCTATGGAACATACAAGTAAAAGGATGACACAGAGATATAACGCAAGTCACCATTTAATTAATAACTGCGCATATGGAAAGTAAATGTATATAAAAAAACCCAAAAGTTATAAACAAACCACTAGAAAAAGACAGACCTTGACCTAGATGTGTGTAGCAGGTTTCAAATGGGCTTTGCCACTAGCAATGATATAAATTGCTTGGTCTGTGTTTTTAGGATCATTTTGGCAAAAGAGGGATACATATAGTAAATAAATACGTAACCAAAAAGATGCCTGTGGCCTTTCTCCAAAGCTCAAGGTCTGCTCTGCTGCCTCCTGATATTACTGCTACAAAGCTGGCACTTTGCTGCAGTTTCATGTCCATCAGTCTATTCAACTTCATTCTGTTCTAAGAACCAACTTTTGCCAATTCAGCCACACGCACTTCCAGTCATTCAAGCAAATTATTTCTTATATATTTTGAAGGACTCGAGGAACTTTGTCATGAATATTGTGATAATACAAAAAGGTAAGGAGTTAACTTTATCATACTAAATGCAAGTAATGTTTGATGCATTTATCAGCACTGATCATAGAAAAAGACAAAAATACTCTCAATAGCTAAATATCAATGCAATTGTTTTTTACAATAAAATGGAGTAAATCTGAAAGATAAGTAATGAGAGATTGGTAACAGACTTATTTCTGTAACAGATACTATATATAAGTACTTTCAGACCCTGCTTGCCATCAGGTCTACAGCTGTAATAAACTGCCCTTTTATTATATTCATTGTGCTATATATCGGGTTCAGACCAATAAAATCTCCACTGATCCACGTCACCTCTTACTTAGCTCAACATTTTATTGAAGAAAAAAAATCTTTTATTGAGACTACTCCCTTCAAAGATCAAATTTCGTTTCTTTTCTACATTAAACACAGATGTCCAATAATATTTAGAGAGAAATTGAGACAACTCAGGCATGTATCGCTTGCTACTGCAGAGTCCTCTAATTAAATATATGCAATGTCCATATACTCAGCTCATTTTAACATCTCTCTTGTGGGAAATGCACAGGTAGCCTGGAAATAGAGGGAAAGACAAGCACTGTGCACCAGTACATTCAGAAATATGCTCAACCACATATGAATTTACTTGAAGTCCTCTTGAGCTGGAAATGTTAATATTCAGAATAAACAGTTATAGTATGTAACAGCAGGGCTTCACTACACCTCTGTTCCAAGGCAGTCAATGAAAGCGTCGTATGTACTTAAAATTAAACCCCAAGGCTAAAAGCATTTTAAAGGATTCCATGTTACAACTTTGTTCTATAGCAAACAGGAAAGAGGATCTTACTGCATTTCACACTCATTTATCTCACTGTTTTCTACTGTTTACTGCTAGTTGCCTCTGAGGGAAGAAGCTTTACTTGTTAGAAGAACAGAAAAATGAAAGAAAAGACAACTTATTTAAGTAACTGAGCATAGCTGTTCATATTTTTTTCAGTATAAAAGACTATTTCACGCTAATTCCTCAAAAACAGATTCTGCTATAAAAATATAATTCACAACAGTCACAAAGGTACATTTTCATGCTGTGGCTTCCTACCTTATAGCAAAATTATTTTCAAAACTCTTGAAAAAAACAACTCAACCATGGCAGCATGATCACGCAACACTTTTATATAAATGGAAGTTACATAACATAGAATGCACCTACGGCCTGCACAAATAACGCTACATACAGGGTCAGAACAAAACACTGCATGCACTGAAGCTGGCTCAGAGCTCATTCCAAACAGTTAATTCTCAACTCAAGCCCTTTCCCTGCACATGCAGCCAGCTATGTCAAAAGTAGGTCACTTGCCATATCTGGTAAGCCTGTGCTTACACCACCAGATGTCTTTAAGCAGACATCAGAAAGTCTTAAAGCGCGCTCCATCCCTCAACGGCAAATCTATACAATCCTGTACCTCACCCACTCCCTCATCAAGTCACTCCTAGACAAAAATGTATGAAACCCCTTTTTCTTTAGCTTACCTTCGCGACACCTAGCAATTTTACATACTCCAAAAATAACTCTGAAGTCAGATATTTGAAGACAAAACAATGTCTCTTATGTTAACGTATGCTCTACTCAAGCAAAAAATGTTACAATCCTTGTAACGAATGTTACAAACCTGCCTTAAACTCATGAAATACCCCTAGTCCAGAGAACATATAATCAAAGAGAACAGATGCAGGCTGTAACGCACACTAGAACAGCAAACTGACAAGCAAACACCAACAAATGACAGTAAGCCGGTTACTTTGCCGATTACAAAATCAGACATAACTGGTATATGAAAGTACACATTTTCCATTTGCTCACAAAAAAGGTTAGGATTATACCTGTGTCGTCAGCCATAACATTAGTGCTCGATTTCCACAGACAGAGCGAGTGTGTATCTCCAAAAGTTAATGTTGAAGGCAGAATAAGAAACGATTTATCCTCACTCCAGCCTTGCAACAGGAGCAAACAAGTTTTCTAAAGCCAGCTCAGCTGGAGCCCGAAACTGGACCCAAGAGAAACCTCTCCTCCAAATCTATTTTTAGAGCAGTTATCCTGAGGAGCCAAACGCTTTTCAGAACTCATATGGCAATCTAGGTCTGACGACAATCAAATTCACTTACTCCTCCAAACAGAGCATCCTGGGTAGTTGATCCTTTCCCCTCCCCTTAATCCTCCAACATAAAAACAAGAGCAAATGAAACCGAGCACATTGTACTGTAGTATTTTTGCTGCAAAGCATGCCACAGTGCCTGAGCTCTAACGACATTAAATCCATGCGCATAAGCTGAAACACAAGTCCGGACACAAAGCTTGCCTGCTTGCATTTGTCAAGTTGGCCCTCATCCAAGAAACTTTCTCCATGTTGGCACTCCTCTACCAGGTTTCCCGAGTAGAGACTGCTCATTTGGAACTTGCTAACTACTTAAAGAGAAAAGAGACAACTAACTTCGATAACTTAATTTTGAGTCGTTGAAAGAATTACTTGAAACCAAACGCACACATTCTTGTCAAAAAAATTTTGGATCCGAACTGTTTCCTGGTGCACATCGTATATGCTTCTAGCAGACCCAAAGAAAGGTTACTGATAGTTTTACCAAAGGAAATATTGTTTTCCTAGCGTGCAATATACCACAAGCCATAAAGTGAAACCAGGCAAAATTTCCATTGCTTATTCGTTTTGGGTGGAAGTCAGAAACTAACTCATTTCTCATTCACAGCAACCCTAATAAAAACTTTACGATCTAGCACTCTGTCCTTCTTCCTCCACGCTTCTTTGAATAACACAGCCATAAGGTAGATGGAGTGAACAGAAGAATGTTACAGCTACTTTGAAAAACAACATACACCTCCTGCGGTTTCAACATCCAGCAACTAATTGCCAAACGCAATTCCCAATAGCTCAAGGGAGAAAAAATGTGAGAAAAAGCACCAGTTTAAGACTTTTCAAATGGATGAAAAGCAACTACAGGCAGTTGATTCTATAACTAATGTATCTGTTAACTACCTTTAAAGCCACTTGAACACATTAAACAGACCAAATGCTTTAAGAAAGACATCCTGACTAGTACATTTCTGTGACTTAGTTGATGCATAAGCAATTCAGAGCAAAACAGAAAGAAGTTACCAAACATATGGACAAATCAACGGCTTATTAAGGAAAATAATTTTACATGCAATGATACGTAGTCTATTGCATGTAAACCATACAGTGTTTTGACAGGCATCAGATTAGGCAATTTGTTGCAACTTCACTTCAGCTGCACCTGCATTTGCAGACACCAGATCTTAGTACAAGTGGATTCATAAAGCAGTCAACTGATGCTGAGAACCCCAAGTCCATATAATACATGGGGGGATTGGTCTGAAGTAGAACTTACCTGGCTGAATGCCCATAAATGCATAAGCTTTTGCTTCGTTTCACTCAGACCTAAGTGAGCACATTCCATCCAGGTACAACAGCAGATTGCATAAAAGCAAGTGAAGACAGTCAAAAAATTGACTCCAAATGTACACTCCAAATCTGAACTAAGACATGTATGTTGACATTTAACCAAGTACCCACAGCTTTAATCTTGTGCCCTTTAAAAACCAACTGATTGCAAGAATACGTCTTCCCAAGAAGTGACAAACATCTTTCTGATTTCTAAAGCTAAAATGCGGAAACTCTTCAAACTCATCAAAAGGAAAATGGCCAAGAGAAAGATGGACCAACTGGGGGTGCACACAACTGATTATATACCCCATAAAAAACACACATTAACACACACCTTGAAAAATACAGGTTATAT